CATTTCGCCTAAATATATGCAATTTGAATAAATAAATTTTAAAATCATAATATTATCCTCTCGTATTTTATTACGGTATTTGGATTATTTGAGAAAATACCTCAGCATAAAGAGTAATACTGTCAGTAAATTATTGAAAAAATATCCTTGCTGATTTTGACAATCATATGTTTTCTTTTTACTGTAATAAAAATAAAATTGACAGACGACTATTCTCATTCACATTTTATTATTTTGTTGTTTTTTCTGTTGAATGTTAACCAACAAATAAATAACATGTAAAAACAAAAACAATAAAATCATACATATACGCTTATAAGATATTAAAATGTCCTTAACATTGAATAACAAAATAATATTTCATCATATAAGTATAAAGAAAAAGGATATTTCGTAACATTGAATTTAACATGTTAATGTCCAATTTGTATATTCTATATTGAAATTTTAATTAATTATAATAAATTAAATTCAACTTACCTGGAAAAATTCCTGAAAAACATGTACGAAATCTTTATTATCACAGTTTAAGTAAACAATTTCTTTAAGTATATCCTCAGCTATCATTATGAAAAAAAGCCGAAAAAATTTGGTCCGCTTTTCTTTAATAAAAAATGCACACACGTAAAATTTAATCGTATTACTTTCAATTACAGAATTTTCTGCTATATAAGATTTTAATATTTAATTCAAACTATAATTTGTATTTTATATATTAAATTGCATATAGAAAATTTAATTGAATCAAATTTCAATGTATAAAAGAAAACACAACACTTTTTATTTTGACAATTTATAGGTCAACTGTTATTATTTAGATTCGATTATGCTGTCATTAGAATGTTATTTTTCCATATAACAAATAATATAAAATTAAAGCATGCGCTGTTTTCTACTGTCGCAGCCTCTAGTGGTGAAATATTGAAAATGTACATGAAGTAGAAAGCGGTGAAAAAAGGAAACTTTAATCAACTAATATAACAATATCAAAAAATATAAGCAATATTTCTGTTAGTTCTGTTAAATCTGTTAAATCTTAACTGTAATCATAATTGAAATAAAGCACATTTTTTTTAACTTTACGATATATAAGTTATCACAATTTATGTTTTATAATATAATTTCTGTGATTCGTATTTCGACATAAAACTTAACATAAGTATTATTCGTTTACTTACAATTTAGATTGCTTGATTTTTATGCAATAATATTATATTGCGGTATTTACAGAGAATATCCGTACATACTTATGTTCAAACTTTTTGATTTTAAATTAAACATAATAAAATTTCATTGTGAATGAAATAAAATTTCCCTTATTTCTGTTATATCGTTCTGTTATCAAGTTTTACGTTATGTGAATATTCCCATCGAAAACTTATATACTGTTAAGTAAATATTATCTATTAGGATAACGGTAAAAAAAGGAAACTTTAAAAAAAATAACAATACTGATTGCATATTCAAATATTATTATAATTATAAAATGGTTTGTGTACTGAATAAATTAATTGAGTAGAGTACAAAAAAGAATTAAAATTTCACTCACAATCGAATCGAAACATCGAAAATAGAAATAAATCGAATGAATTGAAATTTAAAATTAATAAATTTAAACACAAATTCCATTTTATAGGAGATCAGTTTGAAGGTTTATCGATTATCTTTACATTTCCGACATCTTAATAATATGACGATTTTCTCGTGCCATTTCAATCGTATATTTGATTTGGGACCATCGTCTAATTGAATTAAATATCGTCAAAAGACACTCATTTAAGATCAGGTAGTGAAAGTGTGTTAATATTCAAAAATGTTTAAGTTTCCTCTTCTAAACTTATCAAATTTTGGGAAAAATTTCACCTTACCCCTATCTGCACTACATGCGCATGGAAAACTTTAAAAGTACCAACGTGTAAGAGAAGTATTTTTTAATAAATTATTTCCGTTCTATATTTAAAGATTTATGATATAAAAATTAATATTAAGAAAACTATTTGAATTTTAAAATTAAGTAATAAGATTCTAAGCGTATCAGATACCTGAACTATATATTAAAATTTCCATTGGAAAATGTAATATAATTTCGATTAAATTTAATTTCATTCGAAATTTATTCAAGGCTTTTGCCGTTCTAGTTGAAAATAAAACCAAAAAAAAAAGTTTTGTTTCCTATGCACCTACATTCTTACGAATTCTTAATAGTTCACATAGGATCGCAACATATAATGTTAGCTATTCCGTTACCATATACACTCAAAGTATAATGTAATATAAAATAGTAAAAAAATATAAAAAAAAGTAATAAAAGAAAATAAATTCTAATTAACTTTTGTCAATAAAAAATCAAATCAACTTAAACATGTAACATGAATAAATAAATAAATAAATTCATTTAATTTATCATTTATATTAAATAAATTTCCGATGTCACGCGCAATACACGAGCTTTTCTCAACTCTTCATATACAAATAAAATTTTCATTATCATTTTTCCGTTACTCATACATCGTATACTGTGCTTACAATGGAAATTATTTAAGAATGTATGTAATCAATTTGTGTACCAATGTAAGAATAATTAACAAATGCATTTTTTGTTTTTGTTTGAAATTTTTGGTTTTCCCATTAGAGAGACTCATTAAAATCGATAAAACTAACACCATCTAACTATAGGATATTTATTTATGCAAATTACAATATCATAATTTTAAACTACTTTCACGAGTTGTAGTGATTTAAAATATTTACATCACGAAAAGATAATAAAGCTTTATTTACATTAAGCACTTGCATGCTAAATGTTAAGTTGAGGTACTCACTTGCAATCTGAAATATTTATAAACAAATTGTGAGAATCAATTAAAATTATTGACTTGATTTCTTCATAGTTCACTGTGATTGTATTGTGACTGTATTGTAAACAGTAAGAAAAATGGAGTGAAATATTATTTAATCCTTGAAGCGATTTTTGCAAACCTGTATGTTGCGGATTTTAAAAAATAGTGCCGTTAATATTTTACTTAGTAATCTAATTTAAATTTTTTCAAATATTTTTATAAATTAGATTATTGAATTTTTAAAATAAAAATATAATTTTGAAATATACAGTATTACATATGTGGCGCTCAGCTTATCAGCGTATCCAATATTTTTGTAAAAAATGAGTTATTATGTTCAAAAGAGCAGTAATGGTCTAAAAAATTATTTTATGTTTTCAAATTACTTAATTTACTCCTCTTTTCACTCTATTTTGACATAAGTTAGTTTTTGCCTTTTAAAAACTTTATTAAAAAATAAATATTTTAGTATTTCAGTCGCAATTTACTCAAAATGTCATTTTTGCAAATAGGCCACTAATATGCTGAGCGCCTCATATATAATTTAACAATAGTGAAATGTATTACATATGACAGTAAACTGAAGTATGATGACAGTAGAATGAAAGAAATAATTTCGGTTCACGTATAAAAAATGAATTTAGCACCTTACATATGTTTTAAAAGAAATTTATAATTTTAACATTACCATGCTTACGACATATTTAAATTTTTACGATACGCACTTTTTCGAAACTATTGTTACCCATATTACTCCTTAATGTGCCGCGCCTTACATGTGAAAAACCTGAAAAAAGTTTAAAATTGCTGTTTTACGGTAAACAAAATGTCACAAAAATGCTTAATTTTTTTTTTAGAGTCTTATGAATGGTTTGAGAAATTTAATATACCGTAAAGCATATTTGTGAAATTTTTAATTACAAATGTTGGATTTCTATGTATGTTTGAGTGGATGTCTGCTGATGAAGGAGATTACATGAAAGTAATTTCTCTTTTTTGTTTTACTTTTTTGTTTTTTAAGAAAGCTTTAAAAATTCTTCAAATCTTATAATTTTATTTCTCTTGTGAGAGAGAGAGAGGGAGATCGTAATTAATAAAATAAAAAAAAAAATTATGAAACGATTGCTTTTGCAGCTGATTTTGTTTAATCGATCTCAAAAGCAACAACAATAAACATTTTAGAATCGTTCATAATAATTACATTACAGTCAACACTGCCAAAATTAAAGATTTAACTTCAAAATGAGATTAAAATTATTTTTGGTTATATTTTTTGTGTAAAGCTTCAAAATAAGATTTTTAAAATTTTTTAAATTTTATATACAAAAATATCTTCAAAATGAAAATTTTTTAGGTCTACTGAAGCTTTTCAAAATTGAAATTTTTTACACAATTTTCCACTTAACTTACAAAAGTTTATAGACCAAAACGTCAAGCTAGTAAGAAACGCAAGGTAATGTTACTTCCATGACAGAAAATTTTTTAATATTTTCCGCTGCAATTTCTATATTAAACGACTTATCGCAATACCATAACGCAGATACGGCCTATGACTTCATACTTCGAATTGAAATTATAATATTTTGACTCCCTATACTTTTTGCAATTTATTTACAATCGAAGACTTCGATAGGCTCGTGAAGATTTTTTTTTTTATCGAATCTTCAAAATGAAGATTTTATTTTGAAAAAAAAAATGAAGATATTTGAGTTAATCTATTTGGCAGCACTCTACATTATAATTATATTACAGTATTCAAATAAGATTGCTATTTCTTTCTCACAAATGCATTTAATTTATATTTCGAATATTTAATTTGAATTATTTCAAATATTTATTACAAAATATTAATAATTAATTACGATTTCAAAATAAAATTATGGCGTTTTTTAATTTTAATGGCACTGCTACTCAACACTATTTAAATTCTATATAAGAAATTCTAAAATGCATTTTTTTTTTGTTCAAAATTCACTTCATTAAAAATAATGCATAATTTTATGACATTTTCGTTATCATAATTGTTGTTATCAAAAACTATTACGAAATGTCAAACATTAGATAAAGTTATGCAAGTCTTATTAAATTAACGCCTTTATTTACAAACTTTTATTATTAAAAGGAATTTTTTAAATATGGAAAATGATAGTTCACAGCATGCGATTTTAAAATTTAAAATATAGAACAAAATTTTTTATTCTGGCACATTTAATAATAACACACTATATTTATTAGAATTGTTTTTGCTTCTATAATAATGCTACAATAATAATCTCTAAAAATTTTATATACCATAATAAGTACATAATTTTCCAAAAAAAAAAAAAATAAAACTTCTATTTATAATAAATATTTTCAATCCATTTAATTAATTCCGGCATCATATTTTGATTTGGTAAACGATAATCAGCATATGTTTCAAAATTTGGATTATCAGTAATACGAAATGATTTTCCTTTACCTTGAACAGCTTCCATTGCATCTTCATCGGTTGTATCATCACCAGCAAATATAACTTTTGTTTTATGTTGCCATCCATCACCAAAATTTTTATTTAAAATAAATTTTAATGCTTCCCCCTTATGCCAATTAACTGGTGGTTTAGCTTCAATTGCATAATGTGCTTGATTTGGTTTAAAACCATATGATTTAATTATTTTAATTGCTTCAGTTTTTATATCATCCATCATTTCTTCTGGTACATCTCTATAATGAAATGTTAATGAAACTAATTTATCTTCATTCCATGCACCATTACGTCGTACTTTTTCATTTAATTCTTGTACCATTTTTTGATATTTTTCTTTAAGTTCACCATCTAATTGAAAATCAGATCGGCTACCATCTGGATTTTCAATTTCTAAACCATGATTTCCACCATATGTAATATTTGGTATACCAACTTTATTTTTAACATCTTCTAAACCACGTCCAGATATTACACCCAAAAAAATATTCGGATGTACTGCAAATTTTTTTAATGAATTCTCTACTTCTTTTGACATTGCGGTCATATTTGGATTTGGTGCAATTGCCGCCAGTGTTCCATCATAATCTAACATTAATGTTAATTTATCATCTTTGTTTAAAAAATCTCCTAAATATTTATTAAAATCGGAATATTCACTTATTGTTGGAACAACTCTTTTTAATGTCATTTTATTTGTATTATCAAGAACTGAAGTTGTAATGATTGAACGTTTTGATGTTAATGAAGTTGCTGCTACTGTTAACAGTTTTATATTAAATATAGCAACAAGTAGATTTTGCTTACGGAAAATTGTTTTTATACATTTATTCATGATTGTAAATTTTTTTTTTTAGTATTTATTTAATAATTGAAGAGAAAATTATTTGTAATGAACTTTTATATTTGTATGTATGTGAAAATATTTGTAATAAAAATATTTGATAAGATTGTTTGGAAAAAAAAAACTAACTCCAATATAACTTATACTAAATGAACTCTAACAAAACGTGAGTGAGACTGATGAGAAATTTATTAAGATGATGAGAAAATTTCGATGAGAACAAAACTTTAACGAAATTGAAGCAACAACAAAAGCCAAAATTGTTAGAAACTTTTTATAATGTTTTTTTGTTTTTCAAAAGCATTCACCTTCGAATATTTGAAATAAATAGAGAAAAAATCAGGAAATATACAAAAAAAAACAATGGGAGAGCCGTTGTTGACGTAAGAATAATATTCTCAAATTTCAAGTAGTTTTATTTACAAAATTTTAATTGTAGTTTTTTTTAGTTGAAAAAAAAAATAGAAGAAAAATTGCAATTACAAGTTTATTATTTATGTTATATTGAGAAAAAATTTTTCAAACAGCTGATAATTTTGCAATAAAAAAGCAAGCGGAACAATACAAAAACATTTCAAGTACCTGAGTAATTTTGAGTTGAGTGAAACAAATTATATGAACTTGAGTGATTTTGTTTCTTACAGTAGGCTTAAATTATAATGAACTCGTTTGGGAACCAAGTTAATAGAACTCATTCATGAAAAATTCAAGAAAACATATAGAAGAAAAACAATTGGCAGTCAATTATTAAAGACCTTATGCTAACTTATGGAAAATACTCAAATTTTTTCAAAATTTAAAATTTTAAACTCTAACTTTTACTATAAGAAATTGTTTTCATTAGGTGCTAATAGCGTTTAATAGTTAAAAACTTTAGTTTGGACCCGTAAAAGTGAATGATTGCTGAACCAAAACTCATTGTATTATCACTCAACTACTATTAAGACTTAATTATGTAGCCGGGATGCGTTTAAATCTAATAATTTTAATCAAGTTGCCAATGACCTTTAAATTGTCCCTTTCAATAACTGGAAATTTCTTGTCTTTTAAACTGGTCGATTTAATTTAACTTTACTGTATTTTAAACTTATTCAGCTCTCATTTAGAAATTTGCCGATTAATAGAGCTTTTAAAGCTAAAAATAAGCTTATATATAAAAATTGTTATAAAATATCAGGTGTAAAATGAATGATTCATTCAATATTTCGTAAAACTTTGTTATTGTTTATTTTTAATAAATAAAAAATTTATAATCGATTCTACCGACCATAGTACAAAAAAAAAAATTTAACATCCATTACTTAAAATTGAAAGCAGTTTGAGAAGTTAAAAGTTGGACTCGAGTTGAAAAATTGGAACTGTCAGAAAATAAAGCTTTTTTTCCTCAACAATGGCCGGAGTTCTCCAGTAAGAATATAAGAAGACAAACTACAATTTTCATCTTACTATTACCTTAATGCGTCACATCAGATTCCTTCCAAGTTTTTAATGCATAACATTAAAAAATTTTATGAATGTGTTGCACAAAATTGTTGTTGTAATACAATTTTTACTTTTGATATTCCGTTGCAATTTTATTATTTCTTCTAACCGCCATCTTCAGATTACGTTTTTATTCTATGACTAAGTCTAAACGTATTTTTATATCACATTTTAATTTTTGTTTATTCAAGTGGATTTCTCGTTTGTTTTTTTTTTTATTTTATTATAAGACGTATGTAAGATTGTTCAAATTTTGTTCAAATTATAGATATAATTTTTATCTTCTCATTTACTCACCTTAACCTTTAATTGTATATGTATAATAAATAAACCCACACAATATCCATAGTATAATATTATTATCGCTTAATTTTATTTAGAGTAATTTTACTTAATATTTTTCAAGCTTTATTCGCTTTCTCGTGATGATATTGCTCGGTAGAAGGATCTGCATAATAATGTTTCTCTGCAGCACTCCTTCAAACTATAATTAAACTCCTCTTTCATTTGGCTTCTTTTGAGCTGTACTGTAATGGATCAGGTTCATAAAATTTTGCAAAATGGTAACCCTAACACCACCTCACTAAACTATTATTATTCGATCTGATCAATTCATACAATTATTCTTGTAGCATGCATTTTTTAACACAAAATATTCTTAAACTTGTGTATTCGAACTTGACCGGCACAATCAGAATTAGTTTCAGGCTCAAATATGACTACATTTTTAAATGATTTTTCTTAAATTAAATTTATATGTCACATATATCCCTGCAAAATTTGAAGGTTGATTTACGGAGAATCACCTGTATAATCCAATGAAGCCTCGCAAATTACTGGAATATAAAAACTATAGCGTTTAGTGACATAAACAACTCTTATTTTAACAATGTTTTGATAGTTGCAAAACGAATTTAGAGATGAATCCAAATTATTAGAATCCTGAGCATAGTAAAGATTTTAGTGTGAAAAGTAGTGCAGACTTTACTTAATAAAAAACTGATCTTGCCATTTAAACACTCCTTTTTTTTAAGTCTAAACGGGAACACTCAACAATAAAAAATTTTGTTTTGCTTATTTGTTTATTCTTAGAATATTTTATAATATTATTATATATTTAATTCTGAATTAATATATTCGGTTCTCTGGTGTTCACGTTAGTATTTCCTTAAAATTAAAAATATCGTAATGTAGTGTAGGTACATGAATACAAAAACAGTCGTAATATTTGCAACCATATGCATTGTAAACTTATATTTGAGCAAAAATTTAATAGAAGTTGACAAGTCTAAAAAGTTTTCAATGAATTTATCGGTAAATCTTCTTTATTATAAAAATGGGTGTGTTGAATTCAAAAATTTTAATTTTAATATATCCGAATTCTACTTTAGGTATCCCTCGTAATACATTATAGTAGTCAAATAAATTTCGTCATAAATAAAAAAGGAATCTGAAATTTAAAAATTTTGAAAATTCTAATTGTATAGCTTATCGGTTTAGTTTATCATAATTTCCATTATTTATTTTAAGTAATTTTAAGATTCAGCTGTACATGAATAGTTTCATATAAATGAAGACAAGAGTGAATTAAGGTGTCATCTACAATTTTTATGAAAATATAGGTTCTATTGCCTAAATAGAATTTTCATGCGTTTATCTTTCATATGAAAAATTCCGTTTTTTCAAAAAACAACTCAGTTTAAGAGATAGCTTGCCTTTAAAATGTTTTATGTCACACTTTTGAATTATTATGCTTTGAAAGAAGGTTAATTTACTCGAAACTTTAAAAACTGTAGTTAACATCTTCACTCACTCGTGTCTACGAATATGAATGTCAAGTTTACTATTGTAGTTACATATTTACAAGATTAACTTGAATTCGTTTAATGTTCAATTGAATTTTTTTGTTAGATCAATAAATTTTCGTGAAAAATTCCAAAATTCTTAGTTGCAAAGAACCATTATGAATTTTTGAATGTTATACAACATAACAGCATGTGTTATTTGTTATGATTACTAGATTACTATTATAGGTAATACTAGTATAGCGTAGTAAAATATTTGTTTACTTTTGTATTAACTCACACTGTTTATGTACGAGCAATTGTGCCCTTAATTTATAAATATTTTTGTGAATAACGAAAACTATGCATTAAGTGCATTAAAATTGAAACCCAATAAGAAAAATTACGCGGCAAAAATATTTTTTATTTTTGTTTATTTATATATTTTCTCGTTTTTTTTTTGTTTTAATAAAATTTCAAAGTCAAAATTGATTATAAACTAAAATCTTATTGATTTTTCTTTTTATTTTACATATTATGTTTTCAGTCAAAAATTAAATATTTTATATTGGTATTATTGTGTTTAAATGAATGTGCAATTTGCATATTATGCTTACATTTTGTATGTCAGTGCATGAGTACTATGTACAATATTTTGTTATCTATATTTATACTATTTATTCTATTTTGAACTACATAATTTGCTTTTCCTTTTCTCGCTTTCTCTCTCTCCCTGTCTTTCTCTTTGAAAATTACAATTTTTCTATTTTTAAATATTTGATTACTAGAGCAAAATAAAATTAAAACGTAATCCGAGACTAATAATAATAATATTATGTTAGAGAATATTGTGTGTATAGTACTATAGCTACTTTATATATGTAGATACATATACAGAAAGTGTTTTGAATTTGGTGTGCATATAATTATGCATAAAAGTTAGGGTACTGTCGTATTGTTCAAAACAATTTAGAACAATGTGCTGTAACTAGGTCATTTGACATTCTTACGAATAATTAAGGTTTTGGAGTCGAAAGATCGGTGTTGAAAAGTTGAAATAGAAGAGTCTAAGCCGAGGCGTCGTAGTCGTAGATTTGGGTTTGAAAGGCCGAAAAGTCTTAATAGCCGAATCTCAATAAAAAGCAATCTAAATTGAAGTCAAACTGTTGGAGTATATAAAAATTTGTAAAAATACGCAAACAAGAACGGAGCCGAATTTTAAAAATTTTTAAAATTAGATTTGAAATTTTGAAAATCATAAAATTTTTGTGACCTTATTGGACTGAATTTTTATAAAATTACAAAATACATTCACCTTGCAAAATTGTAGTGTCTGCAATTTTTAATTCAAATCTGATCAATAGCTTTTCATCAATGTACTTTGCACCCATTTAAATTGTGCATATTATTATCGTAATATTTTTAATGTAACAAAAGTAACTATGAATTGATAAAAGTAATTATAGTTATAGTTATACTACCAACGAATGTAATTAAATAATAGTTACATAAAATAAAGAGCTTTTAAATTGTGCTATGTTCTGGGTATGCACATTAAACATAATGACCAATACTATTAAAAATTACGTGAGTATATTTGCATATAGTACCCATGAACGTTTGAATAAAATAAACGAAAAGAATTGATTTTTTAACGGTAGGAAAACCTTACTACTAATTTTAGAATTGGTTAAGAAAAAAATTTATTACTTTAGTCATATTCTACTTTGCTTGCACCTATAGCACATTGAAACAAATATTAATAGATTAATTGAATGTAGTCATCAATAAAATAAGTTATAAATACACATGGAGTATAAATTATACATTAATGGGTGTATATTGTAATTACAATTCCCCTTTAAGTATGAAAAGTA